TTATCTGCAGGCCATGTGTAACATAAGTCTGTCCCAGAAACTAGCTTGCTCTCCAGGAACAAATGCATTCATGTTCTCATATTAACCCTACTTCCCACTCTTCCTGGATAGCAAAATGCTTTTTTTTTTAAAGCTACAACAGAACAGTATTAACAGAAGACAGCACGAATTTGCCTTCGGTACACTCATTAAACACTTTCCATAGAACAATTCGATAGCGAAAGCATAGTGGCTTTGTGGTTTAGGAAATAAAATCATTGTGAACAGAAAGAAAATTGCCTGCATTGACCAAACATGCTCAGGACGATGGAGCCCAAGGTGGCTGTTTTGTCTCCAAAGAGCATGGATGCTGCATTCCAACTGTGCAGGAATAGCTTGTGAGGAGGCAGCATAATTAAGTCATGACACAGGCACTATCATGAGCTAATCACAACCCTGGGGCATTAGCACAATACTGCCTCTCCTCCCATGGGGCCTAATTATTCCACAATAACCACACCTCTTATTTTCATTCAGTCCCTCAAAGATCTTTTGGGCAGGGAGGGCGTGGTGATGGAGGAGAAGGCGGCAGGGTTGGAAAGTGGTGCCGGGCGCTGCAGTAGTGAGATGTGACCTCACATTCCCGCCTGGAAGAGGGCACCTTCCCCAGAGATGTCAGTGCCCCTCTCTTCTGCTGCCACTTCCGCTTCCCAAGGAAGCTGGTGGCACCTGGCTTGGTGCAGTGTGGTCAAGAGTCATCACTACTAGTTCTCAGGAAGACTGGAGGAGGAAAAGTCTAGAGGGCCGGGTCTGGACTCAGAATGACCGAGGAGGCTTTGTTCCATGGTGGTGCACATGTGGAAGGCAAGGAGGTAAGGGGCCAGCACATGCTCCTCCCGCCCAAAGCGCTGTCCTGTTCTTTGCTTTAATGTTCATTGCCTGTGGGAGCTCTCTCTAGTGAGTCCAAGACATGTACTTCATGGGTTGTCATTAATCAGGGTCCCTAGTCTCATTTTTAGCATCCTCCCCTGTCCCTTGTGAGGCCATGAGTTTGGAAGAGTCCGTTCATATACACAGTACACATGGATCTCCTAAGAATGGGACAAATGAGAGGGAAAATCAAACCTCTTTTCCCTGCCAGTGATATTTTGCTTATGATTCACTGAAACAAAAGTATATACTTCCCCTTTAGCTGGCCCCAGATATTTGTTTTCATGCACAGCCATGGAGGAATGAAAAAAAAAAAAAACACTGGCAATCTCCTTATAAGGGTGAGAATGTGTAACTGGAGAAACCTAGAAATATAGTTCTGGGATCCCAGGAGTTCCTGCTTAGAATATGGATTGTCTCGTGGTATGGCAGGGCTGTCATTTCACCTGTCACTAACATCCTGTGCTCCCTTGGGCAAACCACTGACCCTTGCAGGCCTCTGTTTCCTCACGTGGGTCATGAGGGAGGCAGCTGGACACCTTAACAGCAGCTGTACTATTTGATGATGGGACCAGGCTGGGGCCTCTGTAGGGAAAGGGTGAGGACAGAGGCTTCTCAAGAAAGCAGGCCCATGTCACCATGTCACTGATGGTCTGTCTGAAGTCTGGCCTTCCTCTGGGGGTTTGGGGGGACAGCTTGCCAGAGGTAGAGAACATCATTTCTGGGAGGCAGATTTCCCTCTGGCCAACATGATCCCAAGAGTGGCAGGGGGCAAGAGGTCACCTGGTGCAGCCCGGGATGGTCACAGTGGGGCTGCAGGCTGGCTGGGGCTTGGTGTGCACTCAGCAGGAATGCTGCTCCCACACAGGCCCCGCGCAGAGCACAAGATATGAACGAATGACTCCCCATGGGTCTCAGGCCTGACCCTCAGTGCAGAGATCCTGCCCGGACACAGCTATCTGGCTCTGTTTAACCCAGTCATACCATTTTGCCTTTGCTAAGGAGGGGATGTTGGTTCTAGGAGCTCAAGTGGCATTTATGGTAGGTAGAAAGTTTACTGTTCCCTCGAGTGGCAGAGCACAAAAGCAGAAAGGAGTGAGGAAACTGTCTTTTCCCTGTATTTATGTGCTAATTTTTAAAGGAAGGGTGAGGAGATACTTGTTTTCCAAAGGCAAGAGATTCAGAGAAAAGTTATCACTGGACCTTATTCTAGTTTTAATCCAGTTAAATATCATCAGACCTTATTCTAGTTTCAACCTAGTTAAATATCATAGGACCTTGTTCTAAACTAGTTAAACATCATCAGACCTCATTCTAGTTTTAACCCAGATAAATATCATAGGACCTTATTCTAGTTTTAACCTAGTTAAATATTGTCAGACTCATTCTAGTTTTAACCTAGTCTGTTTTCCAGAGTTGCAGTATTTTGTGTCACTCCAAAATAATGAAATGCTCTTCCCATGAGATACTTAAATATCTTCTTTTTAAAAAAGCACCAGTATACATTTATAGAAATATAAATATGTGTATATGTATAAACCTCAATGTTTCTATAAGAAAAGTGAATATTAGCAATTAATTCTATTTCACAACCGAGAAAATCAATGAAACATTACTTGCTCCAGTGACTTGACTCTTGATCAAGATGTCTACATACTCTAGAAAAAAAAAATTAGAAATCCTCTATTACATCCTGTAGGTTGACTTTTTGAGTTTTTTGTTTCTAGCCCCAGATATATCAATCCTGGCCTGCATGTGATGTAGTATCCTTCTGTCCTAAATTCTTGGCATCCCCAATCCTGACAGAGGCTACGGTGTTCCCTCCCTTAAGACTGCACCACCTGCTGACTCAGCCCTGATTTGGGTTCATGCCTGTTGGCTTGTGCACTAGTATCAGGTCAAGATGGCGCTGCAAGGCCAGGGTGCTGCTGTGGGGGGTCCTCCTGGGGGAGAAGACACGTGACCTGACACTCAGCAGGCAGCATCCCCCTCACCACAGGAGAGGGACACACTGGGAGCCGAGTCCATCCCTCCAGCCTGCCCTTTGACTCTAGTCCAGCTTTTAGCTCTCATTGGCTTCTTCCTGTTTCCCTTTGTACTGGCTCCTTGTTCTACAAATATGTTTGTTTTCCTCATCTTAAAACCATAAAAACGTTCTCCTCCTAGTGCCCCCAGTACATTTATAGATTTTTAATTTTCTTTTGTTTTTGTGAGATGGAGTCTTGCTCTTGTCAGCCAGGCTGGAGTTGGCTCACTGCAACCTCTGCCTCCTAGGTTCAAGTGATTCTCCTGCCTCAGCCTCCCAAGTAGCTGGGCCTACAGGTGTGCACCACCATGCCCAGCTTATTTGTGTATTTTTGGTAGAGACAGGGTTTCACTGTGTTGGCCAGGCTGCTCTCGAACTCCTGGCCTCAAGGGATCTGCCCGCCTCAGCCTCCCAGAGTGCTGGGATTACAGGTGTGAACCACCACAAACGGCCCCATTTACAGATTTTTATAAATGTTCACCACATTTCGTAAACATGCCATATAGAATTCTGTCCTCTTTAACTGCTTGCAAAACTGTCTACCACTGCTGTGAAGCAGCCACTCGGGGGAGAACCCACTCCCCACATCGAACTTCAGTCAGCTCTGCCTTCACCCCCTCCAGCCCTGTACCCATTGGCTTCCCTGACACTGTGGTTTCCTCAGAAAGCTCCCTTTCCATCCCTTGGCCCCTCTGTCCCACAAGCACAGACATTCCCCCAAGGCTTTCTACACCCAGTCCCCGCCTTGCCTTGCTGGTGATTTTGGCCTAATCACCTCACCGCTCCCCAGCTTAGGGCAGCCCACCTGGCCTCTGCAGGTCAGTGTCAATCCACTCTCCAGTGCAGGGCTCTGGTCAGCCTGATGGTCACACATCTGATCGCTGTTGGATACATTTTACGGAATGTCCGTTCATGTGCACCTGAGCTCAGCATGTGCCATGTCCGATCATCTTGTACGACAGCTTCCCTCAACTCCTCTCATAATTGAAAACAGTGCCCCCCTGGCCACCCAGACTCCACACCCAACATCATCTTTCCTCCTTCCCTTTTGTTCTCCCCATATCCAATGGGTGCCTCAGTCCAATCACTGTCATTCTTGGGCCCAAAGTCCTGAAATGGCTCTTCACTGCTAACAGGAAAAGTTCTAGCTCCTCAGCCATGGCTTTCAGGGTCTCCCGTGGGCATCCTTTTCCCTATGTCCATGCGTGTGAAAAATGAGAGCAACTTCCATTTGCTAATTAAATCCTATTTCTGCATTTTCACACATTTGACATATTTGATATATCTTCCATTCCATTTCTACTTTTAAAAACCCTACGTACCCTGAACATTTTGGCTTAAGTGTCAACTCTTCTATTGAAACGTGTCCCACTTTCTTGGGGCAGAATCGCTCCTGTCACTGACACCTGTACCTTACCTGCCTTGCTGCTTTCCTCCTGTGCTGTACAGGTTGGTGTATTTTGCTTATGTTTGCATGTGGCCATGGAGTTGATGGTGCCTGGTCCTCAGGATGAAACCACATCTGAACTAAAAATTCCCCTCTGATTGCTTTCAAGTCTTAAGAAATGGACCTTAGAGTATACAATTCTGGGAAGTTGTGACTAGAATAAAGCTTTGATTTTCCCACCTAACACTGAAACATCAGTGCCAGTGGTGATAACATGTTTCTATCACACAACATCATAGATCATTTAGTGGGAATAGCAATCTCATTAAGTGGTTGTGCTGGACAGAAAACACAGCCTGAACTCATACAGATGTCACAAGGGGATCTGATGTAGATTTGCCACAATACAGGAGACTGTGC